TTTTTTTTATTTTTGCCCTTCAATTATCTTCTCGGGAAATAAATCCAAGCGTTAACCATACTTCATACTTTCTATCGTTTTCTGCACGATGAAATGAATCCACTAACAGTGGTGCATCCACTAAACAGCTGATCAATGTTTTCCACAACTTTAATAAATCCTCCAAATCCTTACGAACCACCTTCGCTGTGTTGTTATCTGGACGGTGCATCCTTTGCTCATGTTCCAACATCAGACCACCGCAGAACAACACAAAGCCACTGGTTAAACGACCCATAGTTCGAATTAAATTACTGTTGGTTTAAGAGTGCCAAAGTCGAGCACATTGGAACTGGAGAGCTTAGAAATCGTGCATCAAGCGATGAAACACTTGCTGTTAGCAAGCTACCGACATTGGCGTCTTTGCAGCGAACTTATGCTTGTGCTGGACTTCTGGGTGTGGAATCCAAGCAGAATGAGACTGGGAGTTCTTTGAGCTTCGATGAATTGTAACTGTGCTCGGAATCCACACTGACTTAGTTGTGCATCACGTGTACACACATATATAGGTATACAGAAACACGCACACACACACACATACACACACACACGTGCATGGAGTCGTGATAATATGTGTTTTGTGCAACTATTACAGCATGAAACGCACGAAAATGCTACTCACAGTTTATGCACGGGTGCACGCAACTGTCCGGGTATTTCAAGTCAACAATTAAATAAGATTTTGCCAGTGTGTCCCCCAGCCAAGTGCCACTCCAGGACCGCGGTACCAACCATTGCGCACATCTAGGTCCAGCACACGAGCACGTGAAGATCTTGGCGGGAAAATCGCCAACTCGGAACCAGTGGAGCTGGAAGGCTGAAGTTTAAACGGGATGCTCCTTGTCCAAGTACCACGTAGCTGCATAATTAACTTCCTGAACTTCGAGGACCTATAAGTTACAAATTCTAGCTGCAAGGGTTCCAAATGATCTTACTACAGCACGAAATGCTGCAAAAACACATGATCGCACGTATCTGCCTGGTGCTTGTTGCCAATGATTGCGTTTACGTGTGTGTTTGTTTGTC